TGAGTTTTTAACCTTTAAAAAGATCTCCATTTCATTATTAAAATACACAGTTTCATACAGAAAAATTCATTTCTAATGAAATTGACATTAAGATGTTTGCACATGCATTTCTAACCTCTATATATCTGATTATTACTAGTCCCAGGTGGTTACTTTCTGAGCTCCTTGGCATCTGAGCATGGATATAAAGTCATCAGGTAAATTTCAATGGTAATGTTTTTCACATCTACTAATTATGTTGATGCATAATCCTGAGTATTTAAAAAGATGTATCTGTGTCTGTGTTTATGTCTATGTGCACTTCTCAGTACCCAGGACACAGCAGAGTGTTAGGAAGCTAATCTTGTATTAGCTCAGTGGATAACTGTGGATATAGTTGACTCATATTTCATAAAAGAGATCAAATATGACCATTATTTCCTGGCTTTTAGTATTTTGCCCTTGAAATGTTTGGTTTTATTTTTTTTTACGTTTTTTAATATTTTTTTAGAAGAAGCATATCATTACAGCTATAACATGCCCAATAAGTTTCCAGAGCAAAGACACAGCTCCTTCAAAAGTGTCTATAAAATTTCTATGTTCACTGTTGAATCAATACAGTTATACAATATTGAACTCAGTATAAGCCCTGTAAGACACAAAATTGAATGAGTTTTTAACCCTCAAAAGAGATCTCCATTTCATTCTAAAATACACTGTTTCTTACAGAAAGACTCATTGTTTTTGCTACTAACACTGAAATGTTGGCGAATGCGTCTCTAATCTGTATGTATCTGATTATTACTAGTCATAATCATTTGTACTCGGATCCTTGGCACCTGTGTATGTCTATAAAGTCATTGGGTAGATTTCAATGGTAATGTTCATCACCTTTACTAATTAACATGACGTAAACTTTTATGCTTCCTCCTCAAATATAATACATTTTTTTAATTTGTTGATTTTTTTTCTGTGTGTGTATATCACACAGAACATCCCAAACCATCTTATTCACCTATACACCCATTTCCCAGATGGCACCCTACCATAGTCTCCCTCCCCACACTAGAGCCCTTATACTCTGTTATCCCTGCTACTGTCTGCTGTGTTGTCGGGATAGAGGCCAGCCTGTTCTACATAGTGAGTTCTAGGTGGGCTTGGGCTACAGGAGATCCTGGTTTATTTTGGGTTTTTGTTTGTTTGTTTTTGTTTTCAATTATTTATTTAATAACCACATACTTAGAAGAAGCATTTCATTACATCATCATTGACATATTCAATAACAATTTTCTGAGCTAGGATGCATCTCTTATAAAACTGGCTGCACATTTTTAGGTTTACAGTTGAATTATTTCAGTCATACAATATTGTACTCAGTATAAACCCTATAAGACAAAATTAAATGCGGTTTTAACCTTTAAAATGATCTCCATTTCATTATTAAAATACAGAGATTCATACAGAAAACTTCATTTTTAATGCAATTAACATTAGGATGTTTGCACATGCATTTCTAATCTCTATATATCAGATTATTACTAGTCACCATCTGTTACTTTCTGAACTCCTTGGTGTCTGAGCATGGATATAAAGTAATCAGGTAGATTTCAGTGATAACGTTTTTCACATCTACTAATTATTAAGGAGCAAATTTTTTAAATTATTTATTTAATAACCATATAATTAGCAGAAGCATTTCATTACAACAGCATTGACATATTCAATAACACTTTCCAGAGCTAAGATGCATCTCTTTCAAAATTGGCTGTAAATTTTTAGGTTTACAGTTGAATTAATAATTATACAATATTTTTCTCAGTATAAACCCTATAAGACATAAAATTGAGGTTTTAATCTTTAAAAAAATTTCTATTTCATTATTAAAATACACAGTTTCATTTCATTGTTTTTGCTACTAACACTGAGATGTTGGTGCATCTCTAATCTGTATGTATCTGATTATTACTGGTCATAATCAGTTGCACTTGGATCTTTGGCGCCCATGTATGTCTATAAAGTCTTCGGGTAGATTTCAGTGG